GATTTTGTTTTGATTTTTGAGTTTTTTAGCCTGCAACTCTGCCACGACCTTTGCTTTTTCCTTGAAAAATGGGGAAGTTTACGTCAATTTGACGCACATTCCATTTTTTTAAAACTAAACAAACACACTGTTTAGCACTCTTATTTTTTTCATTTGCTGATTTCTATTCAGAAAAATTCGACCGCTCGAAAATGCACCTTAATTTTGCACTTTTAAAACATGTCAGATTTCCAACACAAATTATTTAAAACCGGTCGAAATTTTAAAACTTTTACGTTAGGAGCTGGAGCTCTCTTCTTGCAGGCGACCGTCGCCGGTAGTACAATAGCATGTTTTGTACGTACATCCGTGCGCTGATTGTCTGCGACTGTCTTAGAAAATCTCTGAATAAGGCGTTACCAAAATCGGAAAAATAAAAAATTGCCTCCTTAAAAAACGGACAGAATTTAAATATTTCTTTTAACAAATATGTTGCAGTGGGAAAATGGTATTGGAAACGCTGAACAAAACTTCTGTGCCTCGCGTTTTGATTCTAGGATTACGCGATTATTCATTATTGTGCGTTCATCGAGGATAAATAATTTAATATCCCACTTTGTACTCTTCACGGTAAACCATAGGCTCTGAAATACTCATAGATTTTTTATTGAAAATACATGGAAGAGAAGCCATGATGTTTTGATCGTGATAAAAGGTCACCTTCCTAGGACCGGGGCGGGGCGGTCCTGTTTAATAATTCATGAGATGACGTAATGTTTACTGGGCATTGACACGTGTTTTTACCGACCCCATCAAAACACTGGTATGAATGACGTTTTTCTGATTTATATATTCAAGAGCAGTTGTTCTGGTCCAACGATTTTACATAAAATGTCTATGTCTATACGTTAAATTTCAATTTCAATAGTCTAGAAAGTATGACAAAGTATGACAAAGCAGTAATTCCCGGTTTAACGCGCAAATATGCAAATTAGCCTTTTTCTCGTCTTCTATTTTTGGTGAATTCTTAGGGTTTTAAATTAAAATAGCTGATAGACGCTTTGGCCATTTGCCTCGAAATTTTCACACATTATTGACAAGGTGTTCCCCCTTCAAAATGCGTCCGGACAGTTTATTACGGCGAGTGGAACAAAAATAACAAGTCCGCAATTAACATGGATATATAAATTATGCAAAAATAGAAAAGAGTGAACTTTGAGGTCATGCTGTGCGACTTTGAAAGCCGTTAGAGAGATGAGTGGACGCATTTGAATTAGTAGTATACCAAGGTATCCAGTGATGTAATTTTACCGTCAAACGGACTTGAAGTTTTTAAGCTAATTTTTTTTAAACCACTTTTGTCCAAAAAAGCATATTTTTGACCCAAAATCAAAAACGCATTCTGGATATTTAAAATAAAGACAAGTTTTACAAAGTTTGTATAATAAGCTTTCAGAAAATATATAACATGTTGGATATATAATACCATCTTCATTGTCTAATTACTCAATTAAAAAGCAAGCCAAATAAACTGCATCTCTACCTTAAACAAAATACTGGGTTAGGTAGGCGTTTTATTTAATTCTATTGATAATTTTATTTTAATCTTTCTCAATGAACTATAGTCTTAGACCATTGCTGGAACATAATCAGGATTTCAGCTATACATAACAAAAATTACATCTAAGTTTTCCACCTTTTATGAAAACTAATTTGCATAGAAATGAATAATTTCAGGGTCATTTCATAAAATAAACTTTTCAGATTCCCCCAAAGCATGAGTGATGGGTGGGTGGGTGTGTGGGTAGGCAGAAACATTTATTTTATTTGGCCTTTTTGATTCTTGGTGGCTGTAATAAAGTTTCTCATCACTATGACAATAAAAGTTGAATCACTTCCTGGTTCATTGACTTTTAGCCTCCCTTTGGTTGTCTTTTGTAACCTTGGACTCATTATGCAAACTACCAGTCTGAGAGTGATTCATAATAATCATGTCAAACTAGATACAACAAGCAGGTTTTGACTTCAAACACTTACCATGTAGAGTTCCAGGTAAACTACGTAGTGGGTGAAATGGCAAATTATAATGCATGTACCTACATAGAAGTTGCCAAACAACGGTTTGATAACTGTAAGTTGTTTTATTGTTCAGTAAGATTCCTATCTTCTGTAGATTAAATCATAAATAACTTAGGTACCATGATATAGTTTATCTGGTAGCTGTAGATTAATCTTAATGTCAGCTGATATAAGTCTCAGTTGTTGACGTAAATATCCAGTAAATATATCAAACATGTTCGGACAGGTACAAGTACCTCGATATTTCAAGCATTGACACCATTACACTGTATATGTCAGCTGTTGTGATACTAGAACACATGGGGGTTATAAATTGTATGTATGAGTGAGCTACAAGACTTCAGGCCATATGGCTTGTAGCTAGTCTAGTTTGTTTATTCTCAAAAGTCAACTAAAGGCCGGGACTAAAGGGTTATGAAAGGTATTCTGGACAATGACAATGACCCAATTCATGTCATTTGTTTACCCAATTTAATTGATATCAATAAATATAATAATTAACATTTTTGGCCAAATAATAATATAAATAACATCTCTTTTTAACAGTTTCTCATAATGTATTATTTATTTTTGTCTGTGAAATGTCTTTTTCGTTTTGTCTTTATATCATACAGTACCCTTAGATGGTACTTGTTGATCAATAAAGTTATTATTATTGAGTGTATAATTTATTAACCTGAGTGTATCATGTTGGGACAACTGCATGATCAACTATTTTCTTATTTTTTGGGGTTATTTTTTTCAACAAATATGTGATTTTTGAATGGTAGCAAATTGTGTTCTGTGGGAAGTTACTGTTAACAATTACGTACAAATATGTGGCCTTCATGTTATCCACCCTGCTGTATACATTCAATTAAACAGACCTGGGTAAAGGTCATACAAAGGTCAACAGTGGATATTGTTGGGCTTCATGCCTGACTGTTTCTGAATTGGTGTTTCTTTCATGTAATTTTTTATCTTCACAAAAGGAGGCATAAATATTCTTATTCTTAGTATTGCAGTGATGTAGTTTGAGTAAGAAAAAAATGAAAACGTACGTACTGTAGTCCCATCAATCCTGGTAACCAAATCTGTCACCATAATTATAAATTATTATATAGTATATGTGTTGTACAACATGTATATATATATTTTTCTTGGGGGTTATTCTGCAATTGAAACAATTGCATCATTTCGGGGACTTCGCTTATGGGATTAGCTCATATTCCCCCAAGATCATTCATATTTTCTTAGGTATATTTTGCGTGGGTTTTATTATTATTGTTAATTTTATTATTGTAATTACTAATACCTCATTAACGACTTCACAGGCAGCCCTCGCTTGCGTCAATGTCTAAACTCAGTAGTTGCAGCCCCCGCTGCCTCTACCCATAACCTCTTAACTTCATGCAGCCCCCGCTGCATAACCATGGTGTAGCCGCAGCACTCGCTGCCTATACTTTACAGTTGCAGTCATGCTGCAATCTGCCATTCCATACTAACATCATGCAGCTATGCTGCACCAACCAACATGTTTTCAGTCTTATTCTAGTTTGTATTTTAGTTTAGAAACTGTAAGCCAGCTAGTTTACACCTGCTTTGTTCTACATTTTTGCTGCGGCACCAGGGACCATCTTATCAGTCTGTTATGCATTGTCTCACTTTTGTGTACGATGGTCTTGTGGTGTGCCCCCCTATTTGCCAAATAAATTATTGGTTCATGTACATGCTCTTGTGTTTGTGTCATAAACAACATGTATATATATATTTTTAGGTAGTCGTAAGGACCGGCTAATGGCTGATTGCTAAATCAATGGTATAATTTACTATTTTTAATTATACTTTTACTCTGTGTCATACATGGGTGTTGACCAGTGCCAACTCTGGGTGTGTGAGACTAACAAATTTTTGAATTTTTTTTTTCATTACTTTTTTTTCCAGGATTGCATTCTGACAATTTTTCTCAATGAAATAGGCATTAAGAACCCCTCCCCCTTTTACTACAAGTTTCTAATGATCAACTGTTACAGACATTGAGTTACAAAAACGTTGAGCTACGAAAATGACCACCCCCAGTTTTGCAAAACCATGCCTAAATCATTTCTCAATATTCAATTATCAATTAACCAAACTTTGAGTTACAGGCAACATAAATTGTTACTGTTGTTACATTTAGTAACTCAAAATTTAATTAGCAGCTAACTGAGTTATAGGCAACATAGATGTTTTGTTTTGTTTCATGTTGTATGTTGATCATAACTTGAGGTTCTAGTTAATAAATTTGAACATTAAACAAAAACAGAAATGTATAATGCTTAGCTGGTAATTGAACATCAAGTTACAATTTGGGCCTGGTTTCCCAAAAGTGGGCGTGGCCATTTTTGTAACTCAATGTTTTCGTAACTTGAACAATTCAGCATACAGGAAACCATTTTATCGTAGCTTTGTTCCTTACATCAAAATTCTCCAAGATTATCACTATTATAACAAGGGCCAAGTCCCAGTTATAGTTGTGCTGAAACGGCTTCCTTGAGCGCTTTCCAGAAGATTTATCAAACTTGGCTTAAGCTGAACGCATTTTTTTACATTTCAATTATTGCTTTCTTGAGCTTTTGCTGCACAAACTCTTGTGGGCAAACCGTTCAAGCCATAACTGGATAATGATTGATATTGTACAGCAATAATATACATCATAGTTTCAGCAAAATATTAAATTAAAGATATTGTTTTTTTTCCAAATACTACAGTCAATCCATACTTCCAAGATGATGGTGATATTGAGATGCAAACTAATGGACTTCGTCAGAGAGATCCATATATGGAAGGTGCTAAGCCTAGACGTACTAGAGCACTTTCCACGGCATCCAGTATGCAATATTCAAGTGAAGAAGAAGATCCTGATGACATTGTAGAAAGTGCAGCTATTGCAGCATCACTGAGAGATCCCCATAGCATGCTAGATTTACTTCCAAGTAGACAACTAGGTGGGTGTTAAAGTCTGACATCAACTCTTTTATGGTCTGAATGTGCATAAATCTGAATGTTGCCAATCATTTGGACTTCTTATTTGTTTGTTTGAGATTTGCAGTATTTTAGAACAAAAAAGATTCAAACCATCAAATATTTCACATAATTCGTGTATATTCAAACCATCAAATATTTCACATAATTCGTGTATATTTAACCATCAAATATTTCACATAATTCGTGTATATTCAAACCATCAAATATTTCACATAATTCGTGTATATTCAAACCATCAAATATTTCACATAATTTGTGTATATTCAAACCATCAAATATTTCACATAATTTGTGTATATTCAAACCATCAAATATTTCACATAATTCGTGTATATTCAAACCATCAAATATTTCACATAATTCATGTATATTCAAACCATCAAATATTTCACATAATTTGTGTATATTCAAACCATCAAGTATTTCACATAATTCATGTATATTCAAACCATCAAATATTTCACATAATTTGTGTATATTCAAACCATCAAATATTTCACATAATTCGTGTATATTCAAACCATCAAATATTCCTGTAATTCCTGCTTATTCAAACCAACAAATATTTTCCACAAATTCACACACATTAAACTATCAACTAAATCAAGACTAAATCATGTAATAGTCCCAAGACACAGATAAAGCTTTGTGAATGATCTCATTGTGCAACTTTAACCTTAATGCCATCCCCATGTGTACCAGTACTTTTACTTTGACTTGACCAGATAAGGGTTAAACATGGTGAAACATTACTGGGATTTATGTATTATGCATTTGATGTTGTAAAGATGTGTATTCTACTCTATCACCGAACAATTGAGCCTAGACTGGCAAAGTCGGGACTTCTTTTTTGTCTTACAATAATAAATAAAATTAATTGTCTATTTGGCCTGTTTAGCATGATCGCGAAAACTAGCATGACCACGAAAGAAATCCCATGATTTGATTTGATGAAATGATTTCTTTCGCGTTCACGGTAGTTTTCGTGATTACGCTAAAAAGGCCAAATAGACAATTAATTATATTTATTATTGTAAAACAAAAAAGAAATCACGACTATGCCAGTCTAAATTGAGCCCTATACAAAGATTTATCACCATCTTGCATTGATATCTATCAAGACCAAAATGTAATGCTACATTCAGATTTCAAGCAAATATTATATTTGGTCAGAAGCCTATAAATCATCCTATTTGTTAGGAAAATTACATTTTTAGTATCAACTTAATGCTACCTGTACAGTTTCTTATTATAAATATTTTGAATTAACAACCTATAATTTTATTTAAATTTATTCAACAAGGGTGGCGTAGTAAACACAATGGATCAACATCGATCTGTACATTCTTGTGATCCATAAGAACTTTATTCTAAATTTTGAAATAATTCATTTTGAGGGTGTTCATTATTTACAGGTAGCACCCTGATTGTTGCACATGCAAGCAAAAAGTGGCTCAAAACACGGCAGAGTACAAGAGGAACATTATCTGTCAAAAAAGGACGCCATAACAGCGGCACAAGAGTAGCAGTTGAAAGGATTGTTAATAATGAAGACATGGTGGATGGCTCAGCTAGGTCATTAATTAGAAGACAAAATACTATTAAAGCTATACCTGGAAGTATAGAAACAAAAAGGAGAATCAGGTAATATTAGATGTAATATAGGCGAATGTTTATGAAAATATGTCTGTTTTGGTTCTTACAGTCCTTGCGTAGTATTTTTATGCGTGTTTATACAGTATATGGATTGCTGCCTCTGCCCCACGCGTTAGGTATTTCCCCTTGTTCGCCCCAGCGTGTGCCCGGACAGTCCCACACGTGTCCGCGATCTTATGCTTTCTCGCGTTAACTGCTTGCTCGCGAGAATAGATGGTCATGTGATGCTGACGTATTTAAATGCTAAATCGTCTTTATTTATCGTGAATTTCATTTATGCCTTATAAGCTTGTACGCTGATATAGCAAGCATGATGTTTATAAATTTATTCATTCTGAATTCTAATCAACTTGACTTTATATATATTCACTCATTATAAATTTTAATAATAGAAGATAGCTGTTCAGTATGAACATCATCATTAGTATCGACTGTATTGTGTTTGCTCAATACTGTTGACTTTTTAAAGTCAATTGAGCTTTTATGTACTTAAAGTTATAAATTGGTGGCGTGTTCATTTTCATTCCCCAATTTTGCAGCAAACTTTTTCTCTTTGTGCCAGATGACATTTCTGGACTTAGAAATCATTGCTGTCCTCCTGATGTTTTTTTGCTACAATAATTGCAAGTGCATGTGTGGAAACAAGTCTCCAAATTTGTAATACTTGTGTGTTTGGAAGACAGGGCAATTAAGGTAGCGGGACTATTATTTGCATACTTGTTTTCATCTTCTAATTGTGACTGAATGACTACAAATAGACCCGGGAAAGTATATATTTTTAAAATTGCCAGACTTCAAGCTTTTCACAAGTGTATTTTGCATGCCCGTGTCTGCATTCTACGACGCGTTACTCAATCAAAGGTGAAAAATTACTTTTTCTGTAAAAAAAATAATTACGCATTTATGCTGGCGGTAAGAAGTATTTTTTTCACTTTTCCTAGTTGTTCAATAGTCTGGTAAATTGAATGTGTCTGGGTCAGTTTTATTCAAGCAACGCGTTTTAAAAAATAGTGTGCTGAATTTCAATTACTGTTTTAGTCGCATTGCCCCCAACTCAAACCACAACTCGTTGGTAAATAATCGATGAAATAGTTTGTCTGGACACATTCAATTTCCTCTCATTGTCACCTTAAAGCTGTGAAAATTTGGTGTTATTCCGACGACAATAAGTATACGTTATTTTTTGTTAAAGACCTTGTATTTTGAAAAACATAAACTTCTAGAAAA